GTGAAAAAATATTTTTAAAAATTAATAAATACATAAAAATATGAAATATACTGAATTCTCATATTTTTTTTATATTTTTGATATTTAGTGAATTTTTAAAAGATATTTTCACAAAAATTATACTTTTATGTGTATTTATGTTAGATGTATTTAATAATTAAAAAAATTACTTAAAATATTTAAAAAATCAGTAAAAACAAAAAAAAAACATGAAATACAAGAACACAATTTTTATTATAAAGTGTTTTTAAAAAATAGTTAAAAAATAATTTTTTGATTTTTTTTAAAATAAATAAATAAATAATATGAAAAATGATATGATTCAAAAGGATTAAAAGCTAAAAAATAACGTTTAACCTACTTTCCAAAGAGGGCTATATATGTGGTCCAAGGAAAAAGTAAGGAAAAGTCTCGTGATTAAAACCCAATAAAAAGTCTTTTGACGTTGGTAGGTAGATATTTTACAAAAACTTTTTTTTTATTTTAGGTAGGTAGATATTTTTTACAAAAACTTTTTTTATTTTATTTTACAAAAACTTTATAAAAAAAAAAAAACTACAAATAGTTGTTTTAAATGTACAATTTGATTATTTTAGAGGATTTTATCTAATTTTTTATCTATTTATTTATCAAATTCTACGTACTTAAAATTTTTCTTTTGTTTATTTACCAAATTCTATGTATTTAAAGATTTCATTCGTTGCAATTAGCTGGTGAATTAAAGTTGAAAAAATATCATACCTGGATGGGTTTATTGTAAAAGGACTGTTATTAATAAGATTTATTATTATTAGTTTTATGTACAATACAATAAAGGGGATTTTTTTTTAGGCTCTCTGGTATTAAGATTTTATAATATAAAGGACATTCAATATTTTCATAATGTCTAAAATTCCTCAAATTGATCTAGAGAAAATTCGATCCAAAAATTCTGTTCAAACCAGAAAAATTTTGGTTCTAGAGAGATTCTCTCCAAACCAAAGAAATTCCTAGAAAAATTTGTCTCATTACGTGTAGAGAATTACTCTGGGTTTAAACCAGAAAAAATTGAAATTTCATTGAACAAAATTGTTAATTTCTGAAACTAGACTTTGCAAATACAAAGCAATTCACCGTTCTCCATCTAGAATACCTGATTCACAATTACAGTGGCCTAGAGAGAGAGAGAGAGAGAGCTTTACAACAATGGCGTTTTACTTACCAAATTCTATGTATTTAAAGATTTCATTCGTTGCAATTAGCTGGTGAATTAAAGTTGAAAAAATATCATACCTGGATGGGTTTATTGTAAAAGGACTGTTATTAATAAGATTTATTATTATTAGTTTTATGTACAATACAATAAAGGGGATTTTTTTTTAGGCTCTCTGGTATTAAGATTTTATAATATAAAGGACATTCAATATTTTCATAATGTCTAAAATTCCTCAAATTGATCTAGAGAAAATTCGATCCAAAAATTCTGTTCAAACCAGAAAAATTTTGGTTCTAGAGAGATTCTCTCCAAACCAAAGAAATTCTTAGAAAAATTTGTCTCATTACGTGTAGAGAATTACTCTGAGTTTAAACCAGAAAAAATTGAAATTTCATTGAACAAAATTGTTAATTTCTGAAACTAGACTTTACAAATACAAAGCAATTCACCGTTCTCCATTTGGAATACCTGATTCACAATTACAGTGGCCTAGAGAGAGTGTGTGAGAGCTTTACAACAATGGCGTTTTACGGAGACGAAGAAGAGGTCCAAACCAGAGAAATTCTGGTTCAAGCGAAATTCTCTCCAAATCAGAGAAAATTAAAATTTCTCTAAATTCAAATCAGAGAAATTCAGAGAAAAATTAAAATTTCGTAAATTACCAAAAACATAAGGAAAACAGAAATCGGAAAATGCTTTTATCAAATCTTTTCAAGTAAACTAAATCAAAATCATTGTAAAACGCACAGAACATGAATGATTCAAGTTTCAAACTTGGATTTTCGATTTACGAATCAGATTACCAAAAAAAAAAAAGAAGAAATCAAAGATTGAACAAAGCTCAGATAATATGAAAGCTCAGACGCCATTGATGTAGCAGAGAGAGACCAAATCTAGAGAGAGAGAGAGAAGAAATCAGAGATCGAACAATGTTTTAATCAAATCTAGAGATACAAGTGAAAACTTGGATTGCTGGCGGCGGAGCTAGTGGCGTTATGGACGACCTTAAAAGAACTTTTGAGAACAAAAGGGAGAGGAAAAGAATGGTCAAGATAGCTGTTCTGAACCT